GCCGTGGGGCGCGCCGCCGGCGGGCGGGGGGGCGCTGCCGCAGGGGGTGCTGGACTTCTTCTCGATCACCCTGCCGCTGAAGCAGCTGGCCGTGCTCGTGTTTGCAGAGTTTGTGACCGTCGACGCGCAGCCCCCCGCCGCCGCCGCGCCCGCGGGCGCGCCGCCGCAGCAGCAGGGGCGCCAGCGGCCTCCGCAGGCCGGCGAGCCGATGGGGGTGCGAGGCTCCGGCGGCGGCAGCGGCGGCGGTGGCAGCGGTGGTAGCGCGAGGCACCCCAGCGCCGGCGGTGCCCACGCCGGCCACGATCACGCCGCGCCGCGCCGCGGGCCGCCGCAGCCGCAGCCGCAGCAGCACCCGCCCGTGTCGCTCGCGCAGGCGGCGGCCGCCGCTGCCGCGGCGGTCAAGGCGGTCGCGTGCGACCTGGCGCGGCCCGAGCGCGGGCGCTTCGGGCGCACGAGCACGTGAGCGGCGCGGCCTGCCGCGGCGCTGTGCGGCGCCGCGCTCGCCGGGGCTGCCACTGCGCGTCCCCAGATGTGATGAGCTCTGTGATTTTCTATGACGCGCCGGCGGCCCTGGGAACGGGCCCCGACCGGTGCAGGTGCCAGGTGCGTGTTCCCGTGCCCCTGCACAGCACTCAGTGCGCGCCGACGTTTGCTCCCGCGCGGGCCCACCTGGCTTGACGCGGTTGCGAGGCGCGTCAGTCGAGCGGCACTGTGACGCGCCCTGCAGGAGGGTGCGGCGCGCCGCTAGCTTCGCGGTTTAGTCGGCGTTTTTGGCGCTGGCCTGGCCGCTTGCAAATGCACAGGCGCTCTCGGCTTTGCAAGGCAGGGCAGGGCCCACGTGCGTCCCGGGACCTGGCTGGCCGCTCGAATGTACACACGCGCGGGCCCCTGCCCTTGTCCTCGGCTGCTGAGCAAGCAGCCGCAACTATGACAAAGCAGCCGCCACGCGTGTCGCACGCATGCAGGCACAGCGCCTGCCGACTAACCGCGCAGCGGGTTTGGTCCCTGGTCCTTTGACGGCCTCCCCAAGAATTGCGCGGCCCTCGGCGCGCCCCATTTGTCACATGCATCCGGTCTGGATGATCTGAAATGAGCCAAACTGGATTCAAGCATTCAACAAGAGGTGCCGCTCTCGGCGCCGCCGTCAGCTCTGGGCCCTCACTTTGGGGGCCGTTTCTGCATCGCTAGGGTACCACACACACGCAGCAGTGGGGGTTTCCCCAAACGAATTGCCTCGCGCCGCGCGCCCACGCGGGCCGACCGCGGCTGGTTTAGATTTGCAGGCCCGTCTGGTCTGGCAGACCTGCCTTTGGTCTTGCAGCCCAAAGCTTCCGTGATTTCAGGCAGCTCAAACAACGTCATCTCGATTCGGCCCTCATGCACTCTCCCGCACGTGGGACATGCCCAGAGCACCGCTGCTGTTTACGGCTGCGCACGCCAGCTGTGATGACCCTCGCGCACGTCACTGTGCAAGGGCCGCAGTCACCCACGCATGCTTGACGCGTGGGCCTCCTCAAACAACCATTTGCAGATATTGCAGGGATTCAGATGTCCGACGGGCACGCCTTTTCATGACACAGATCTGTTCAGCTGCTAGGAACGCACGACGACCACCCCTTATTTTTGGGATCCCATTTGCAGAGATGCCAGCAGGCCCCGCCGGCCCCACTTGCACCACGCAGCAGCTTCCTAGCGCGCCCATGAATCATCCTTTGCGTAGCTTCCGCCCCCAAACACATGTCTCGCCCCGCCCCGCCGTTTCTGTCCCGCCCAATCGCAACTTGGCCTGGCCCTTGCCCTTGTTCCATTAGCTGCAGGTTTGCATTGTTGTCCCAGCCGGTCAAGTATGGGCCCGCCCTCTGGTTTCATGGTGTCTGTGGGCCATCCCGCCCCCGCACCCTGCCTGCCTCAACCTTGCCTTGTTTCTGTGCGCCGCCTCAACTCTTCCTTGATACGCATGCTCAAATCCCCGCACATGCAGCCGCAGCCTTTTGCCCACTGGCTCAGCGCGCCTGCGCACACTCCTGCCAGGTGATACCCGCGCCGACCCCGGCCCCGCCCCGAGGTTGGGCGCCTGGTGCACCCGCCTGGCTTGCCGCGCGCACCTGTGTCCTCGTGTTTCACTCCATGGGTGCCCTGGCCTTTTGTGTGCTTCTCTCTTTCAAGAGCTGCAGCTCTGGCATGAGGGTGCCTTGGCGTGCTGCCCTCGGCCCTTCCACCCGGTCTGCATCCAAGACTGCTGGCGCGGGCCCTTTACATTTACTTGCAAGCCCCTGCGCCAGGGGTCAGGTCGCGACATGGGTAACCAAACTACAAAATCAGGCAATATACGCGACCGTTGTGACTCACTGGCAGCTGCGGCACGGCGCGCCGCGGCACCACGGCTGCAAGGACGGCGCCGCCAGGCGCGCCCAAAAAAGCGGGCGGCGGCACGAAAATTGTCATCAGGTCCTGCGCGACACTTTTGGCGGCCTCCCCAAAAGCGAGCCCGTCGGCCCGACGCCGTGCGAAAGCGCGCCGAGTCGGCGGCCGGCAGCGGCACGCAGGGGTGGGCGGCACGGCCCAGGGGCGCGGCCCAGCGGCACGGCCTCAAGGTGCCGCCTAGTCGTCGTCATACATCTGCTCCAGGCGCCAGGCGTTCTCCGCCGACGGCCGCAGCGGCGGGCCGATGCCCAGGCGCCGCCGCTCCACCGCCTTCTCACGCCACACCTCCTCGTCCTGTTGTGCAGGCGACGGTGTGTGTGTGAGTGTGTGTGTGTGTGTGTGTGTGTGTGTGTGTGTGTGTGTGTTGACATGTGTGTTGACTTGTGTGTGTATGCGTGTGGGTGTGTGTGCCCATGTGTGCCTGAAAGGGGCAGACCGGCAGAATAAGAGCTCGACAGATGGCTGGGCAGGCTGCGAGCGGCCGCGCCGCGTACGTCGCGGGCCCAGGTGCTTGATGAGAGGGTGCGCCACGCTCGCACCACGCTCCACGCGCGGCGCGCGCGCGAGCACGCGCACGCCGCTCGTTGGTGCAGAGAAAGGTGGCTGCGGCGGCAGCTGCGTGTGCGTCCCACCTGCTGGGCCTGCTTGTCCTCGTCCTGCTTGAGCAGCGGCTCCAGCACCAGCTTCCACGCCATGTACTGGGGGTGGGTGGGGG